GAGAGAGAGAGAGAGAGAAAGAGAGAGAGAGAGAGAGAGAGAGAGAGAGAGAGAGAGAGAGAGAGAAAATATGACTTTAAAGCAAGAAGCCCCAGGTGGGGTGTTTCCTAGTGGGCGGGGTCCACTTGACAAAATTCCATCACCTGGATAATTTATTCATACGTTAGCTAGCTTGATTAGCACAGCTGCTCTCCGCGCATGCGTGTGACCCACCCTCAGAGGTGTACGTCATCCTCCAGCCAACGTTCTCTCCCGAGTGGTCGCTGTGAAACAAGATGGCGACGATATTGGAGTCCGTTTGGATCACGCCGGGCGACTTCCCGCCGCAAAACGGCCCAAATTCTTTAGACGCCGCTCGGATCTGAAATGCACATGCGCACGCTTAGTCACAAATTTTGGGCGCATGAACGCTCGATTCAGGTACAAAATGACCCTGTAAATAACAGGTGAAATTCAAGCCATTACCCAAGCCATCTCTTCATCATATTTATTTTTATTTCATGTTATTTGCACAAGTCTCGGGAGTTAAGGGACTAACCTCGGAACTCGTGGATCGTATTTTGGGCCATGTCATGTGGCAATGTGTATTGGTATGACAAAAAAAGGCCTTGGATCTTTGTATCCTTGAATTTTGAAGAAAGGAAAATGATGGCCTCAGAGGGGCAGCGTGGTGCCCTACAAGGATGGACACACTTCGAATAAGAACAGAAGTTGCGATTGAAGAATTTTAGCCTTAAGTTATCGATATGAATAAATATGTATTGCATATGTATGTGTGTTTCTAGAGTGTTAGTGTGTGAATATTCGTTATTTGAAGGTCATGACCATTTTCCGTTAGCATTAGCCGTAGCGATCTTGTAACAACGAAGCATGGTTTGGATTTAAATACACATTGTGTGTCATTATTTATGTTGTTTGTTTAGTTTTACAGTAAACTCCAACTAGGGTGTCATTAAACATCTTAAACGATGCTCAGGCACAGCAGAATCACAAACGGTATGCGACATGCCTGGTACGCAAGCAACATGGTGCATTCAGGGTACTTTCACAATGTCGGGAACTTGTAAAAGCACTTCGCCATTCTGTGCATTCATCGTTTTTCTTCAGTGATGATGTTTTAAAGTTCGAGCGAAGCCAAAATCGGAATCCCGTTTACATTTGTATGAATCGCCCAAACTATGTGAGTATCATTGTCTCTAATTGTGTGCGCGCATGCACCTTGATGAAGTCATAGGGACAGAGGGTTTGGGGGTGGTCCTCCACATCGAAAGGGTCACCAAAATGAAGGCGGAGCTTGAGCCCCGGCGACACCTGGATGACGTAGGAGCACTCGGTTCTCTTCGGGTACGGCGACGGGAAGTTGGGGCTGCTCAGGGAGCCCACGCGCTCGGAAAACACCAGGCCACTGCACTCCACTGTTCATGCACATGCGCACAATACACACTTGCATGCACGCGCACACACATAACACACACAAAAACACACACAGTCAGAACATACACTTCATCAATCAAGCTGCATGTGTGCGTGTGAGTAGAAAAATGCAGTTCCCTGTAAATATTTACAAGAAATCTGCCAGTGCTATCAGTCACACAAGGGCCTCATACACCCACACACGCGCACGCATAGTTGTTATATCTGTTGTGTAGCTTTTAGGTTGAAAAGGTCATTAGTGTGCTTGAACATTTTGGCGCTGATCCAAATTGGACACGTTTTTGTTTGGACCAACATTCGGCCTTTCACACGCATTCAGTGACTTCAGTGTGTGTGTGTGTGTGCGTGTGTGTGTGTGTGTGTGTGTGTGTGTGTGTGTGTGTGTGTGTGTGTGTGTGTCCTGTAACCTGTGCACGTGCGTTTGTCGGGGTGCAGCAGGTAACCAAGGCGGCAGGAGCAGTAGAAGCCACCTACGTAGTTGTGACACAGGTGGTCGCAAGCGTCGTTCTCGTCCACACCCTCCACGCACTCGTCCATGTCTGGGGTTGGCAAAGGGACAAACAAAAAGCACCACTCAAAAATGGTGAATGTGACCCTCAGCCAATCTTAAACTTAAACTATGTATGATTATTGCAAAAATGTCCCTGGTCCTTGAATTTCCGACATGAGCTTTCAGGATTTTGATTCATTTCTTCTGGTTTGACTATATGGCCACAGAAAAAGGGAGGTCCAACAGTTGTAGTTTACGACTTTCCTTTACTGCACAATAATTGTTACCTTTGTTTCATCTTGTGCTCAACAAATACTCCATTGTCAGTACTAATGAACTAAAACTAATACTAAAATTAATTCAAACAAATTGAATTTGGAAAACAAAAGCCAACCTAAAATCTGGAATGAACGATAATGTTGAATCTCAAAAGAATCCCAATCCTGGTTCAAGATGAGTTTAGAACCCCGAACCAAACATGTCACGCAGACAGCCGGACGCACCGACTGCGCTGTAGTGGGCTTGGAAGCCAGAAAAGTTTTGCTGGTTGGAGAAGTCCGACGAGAAGACGACACTGACGATGTTGCCGGACGCGCCAAGGGGCTCGGGACCCGGAGCGCTATCTGGATCCTGAGACTTGCCACCGCAGAACACGCCCATGATGGAAGACCCGCCCACGTCCGAGGCCCCGCCCCCAGCCTCCACCTGCGCACAGGTACGCAATTTCTCACGTCACTGTTTGACCTGCAAGTTTCTGTCCATGCATGTTTGTATGTTTGTGTATGCGTGCGTGCCACCATCTCACCCTGATGTAGTCGCACTGGCACATGTCAGAAGGTTCCAGGTCAAAATGGCTGAAGTCCAGTCGGACACGGAAGCCGTCGGGAACACGGATGTCCCAGCGATGATGCATGTTGTCAGGGTAGGTCGCTGGGAAATTTGGCGACTGGAAGCTTCCGAAGGGTTGAGTCAATGACACCACGTGCTCGGCCTCCGCCAGGCCCAGCAGCAGGCACGCGCACAAATAAACAAGCCTACACGCATACACGCATGCACACAATTATGCACGTGCACGCGTGCGCACGCATAAAGACACATACATAAACACAATTACTGTAGACGCGATAACTTGAATGAAAACACGCTCACACACAAAAAAACACAAACACATACACACATACCGGTACATATAAACACAAACGATCAAACACATACACACATAACACACTAGCAATAAACTCCATGACCAATCGATACAAATTTCAATAATGAATCAATCAATGTGAAAAAAATCAACTCACACAGGAAGAAGTTTAGGTTCATCAATCAATGAACCAAGAGAGCCATAAATGATTACCAAATCAACAATGAGCTACGTCAAAGTCACCTGACACTGCAAGTTGGACGATACGACAGACAAGCAATGAAATGTCAGACCCATTAGAATCAATCAATGGCGTAATAATAATCAATAATCTAATAATCAATGCAATGAGTAAAGGTCACCTCGTGGTGGAATGCATCCAAGTATCAATCGATCAATCACTGGCTCTTCAGTCAAGCAAAAAGCAAAATGGATTACGGCGACACTCATCAATTAATCCAATTGTACCAAAGTCCCAAAATGACAGTCCGTCAATCATTAAGTCAATCAATAAGTCAAACTGACCTCATGCTGACTGTGTCTCGCCCTCCAGTCTTGCCTGCGTGTGACGGGCAATCAAGCTCACGCTGGAGCCTTGACGTCTCCGTGACGTCACGAGTCGGAACGTCGCGGTCAGCATGCGAGGGGGCGGGGTGGCGGGTACTCGCTGGTGTTGAGCAAGATACTTACCCCCGAGTTATACTAATTGATCATTCTTAAATCGATAGGTTTGGTTTACTTTGCATGGTGTGTCATTCTTGCATTCATATATTTTTTATTATTCGTAATTTTGGGGGCGACGTTGCTGTGGTCGTTTTCGAACCCGCAGGATGGAAGTTCGATCCCCGGCCATTGCAGCCAATGGCGAATTGTTGAGTAAGATACCTAACTCCAAGTTACACGGATAAATATTACACTTGGTACTGCGTCACCAGTGTTTGAAACTGCGGTCAGGCCAAGCGGCCAACATCCACACGCAAAGTTGGAGTCAAGCCAGCCGCCACAGCGATTGTTAATACTGTGCATTACGGTATTCGGCCGCCAGGGACCGCCATTGGCCTCCTTCAAAATAATAGCTGTCCGACTCATGTATGCACGTCAGTGGTTTGGATTTAAAATAATGTTCTAAAATAATTTATTGGTGGTGAAGCAACGATGAGTTCACCTCGGGAGAGTGAAAACTCTCTCAGAATAGCACCAAGAAGCGTTCTGAATTTGAGATAGAAAACAAATGGAACGTTAGCTCTACATCAATGACGACCGGGAATATTTCACCTTTTTTAGATTTATCCAGTTACTGTCCAATAACCCAGGTCGTGTTAGCACCGGGTGTCGCACATTAGCAGTTGTGATACATACTTTGAACGAGAAAATAAAACTTTATTTTCATGTTACAAGAGCATTATATTACAATATAAAACAATATCTCTTTTATTCAAATAGCGCTTTCACAACAGGGCCGCTTTACACAACATTTGAACATACAAAAAAAAAAATACAACAGAACATGAACTTTTTCTTGCTCTAGCTCCTCTCCCCTCATCCTCAACTCCACCAGCCATTTTTTGGGGGGCTATGCGAATGTGTCTGTGCATTTGAGGACCGAATGTAATTTGAAATGTTGCCGCATCATGCAAGTGCAATTCGTACTGTGAATCAATGCAAAAGAAGTGGGCAAGACTCGCCCACTCGTGAAATCTTGTGGCAGAACCTCACACGCGGCGATTGTGCAATGGAAGCTAGCACAGTTGAGTTGATCCCGCCCCAATTGATTTGGTGCTTGTTGTAACACATAAGCAACGGAGGCCAGACCAGGCCAGGCCAAAGGACCTGGGGGCAGAGTAGGGCCGTTCTGGAACCGAAAATGGAAACGCGCCCTAGCGAAACACTGTATAGTAAATTGCTCTGATAAATGAGTGTTGCTTGACAGTTGTATGTGACTTGCGATCCCTTCCTCTCAGTTGTTGTCCAAATTAATGATGGACATTATGCAGAATCCCAAAGGCACCTAGAGGGGGTCCCCCCTTTACGACAGTACTGACATTGAGGATACCAACTGAGGGCAATGAACTAGTTTGTGCAGTGGTGAAAGAATAGGAGAAGGCACACTGAGTGACATCAGTACTTAGAATTATGGCCTAGAAGTGTTTTCCACACAAATATTTAGTGTAATTGTGAAGTTTCTTCTCCTGGACTATGAACTGTTGGGACTTCAGCAGCAATTTTGGTGTAAACTGAGCACCCGTCGCACACCAGTGATGGGGACCATTGTTCCCCAAGAGTTGCACTCGGAGCATAATCCTCATTGTATTAAAAGGGGACTTTAAATTTTTAATTGAGTCACCGAGTTGGATTTCCAGAAAGGAGCGCCTGATTGTCAGGTACAGCTTTACACCCGAGTGCCGTTCTCTCTCGACCTTAAGGCACGACACCTCACACTAACCAGTGGAACTATCAGGAGGCACGAAGGTGACCTTTTCAGGGGAAGTCTCACGAGACAAGAACTCTCGGCGCGGTTCTACACCCGCGCAGTTCTGTCTCTGTGTTTCCGAGAGTCGGGCAGATGGGTCCCGCCTCTG